GGCCTGGGCTCGACCAATACGCGCGAGCCGACGCACATCTCGGGCGTTTCGAGAATGGGCGTTCTTCGTGGTTGAACGTGGACCAATAGCGGGCGACGAGGTGGATCGAAACCCGTAGGGGAAACCCCCTTCTTCCGGTTCTCCGCAACCGTCAGATGGAGCTGGCTGCATCGCCCGACGCCGGAGAGTGTCTCGAGGTGGTGGAGAACGCGGATGGTCGATGGAACGTGGCTACGGTGGTGGTGGTAGTGATGGTAGTGACGGTGGTGGTGGTGGTGGTGGTGGTGGAACGCGGTGGGACCGAGCGGAACGTGACGACTCCTAATTGTCTAATTCCCGGGCGCGCAATGCGCGAATTGATTGGCAATACGGGTGCACGTGGCTGTGTGCACGAGCGCATGGCTGGGAGGGCAAACATCCCTCTCGCGTTCGCCCGTACGCGTACACAAACCGCGCGGCCGGCGGCACCTCGTTCCGCTCTCGTGAGACCGAGCGATGGCTGATCTAGGATTTATATATAGTCGGTGATATGCACAATCCCAACATCTATCACATTTAATTATAATCGGCGAGAGACGACGTGCGTGCTGAGACACGTGACTGGATCCTTCATTCGACAATCTGGTTTTCGATTAATTGTTTGTGCTCAAATTTGGGCTTGTAAATAAAAAGAATTATTTTCGGAGACACTTGAAAACAATACTTCTCGCGCGAAGCTAGATACTTATTTCCAAATGATGTAAATAAAACATGAAAATGTTACTGAAACAAGTATTTTATCTCGATTGATATTTCCCTCTTTAGATTATTTTTTGAGAAATAGGCTATTATTTTTTCCAAAACTCACATAGATTTTTAACTATTAACATTTTTGAACAGCTGATATTTTCCTTTCTTCTGAATACTTTCAATAATTTCACATAAAGCAGTTTTTTCCTATATTATCGCGGAATATACATACACATCGCTTATACAAGAATAATATAAATCAGTAAAAAAGAAATAAATATTTGCGCTCTTTATGAGGGAATAACGCGGGATGTTTCACTGATAGGAGGAATGGATTGGAGCGTTAGCAGAAGCGACATATTGAATCTCCGATCCAAAAGAAAGAAGCACATCGATACAGCGAGGGTGGGGAAGCGCCTGCAACACGCGCTCTCCTCGCGAGGAAAGAGATATACCAGAAGGCAGGGAGCAAGCGGAAAGAGAGAATTGAGCCGTCAAGCATAGGGGTTTTTGTCGTTCGCCAGTCGCCAACAAGACTGAGGAGGCCTTGAGCAACGTACGAACGTTGTCTTCTACTTCATGATGTTCTTATTCGAGTTTGTCGCATTAGCATGTTAAAAACAAACATTTAATTAAAAGCCACGATAACGAAGTATTGAAGCAGCGATATCTTTTTGCGCAACTTCATAAGAAATCGACACACATTTTTTACATAATATAATTAAAACTGTAATGACTTAAGATGGCTGAATTTTACGTAATTAATTAATATTCAGTGTTAAGCGAAAACTTTTTTTTAATTCCCTCTTATCTCTAGACCTTTTTTTAGACATGTAACACAAATTTAATTTACATAAATTATTTCATGGCTATAAAATCATCTGTTAAATATTAATAGATAACGTAATTAGAGATATTTATTATTTCGATCCTCTAATTATATAAAAATAGTGAGAGATTTTTCAAACAAGCAGATTTGTTTATAAATTTAATTGCACTTCGTACAAATATGGTACGTTAGTCTTAAAAGAAGCAAAAATTTATAAAATTCTATTGTTAGCGATATAGGAAACATGGTATTATATCCACAGACTCTTAGCTAGTATTCTAAACAAAACATATAACATGGCACAATCGCGACAATCTCACTACACGACCAGTGATATCTTAGGATTATACTAATCCGATTGACATTGTGATGAAGGTAATAGCGAGCAAGTTTTTTGACATTACCTTGGTATGTCCCACAGGGCAAACCAATTTCAAAGAAAGAAATTTCGGACAAGCCGATTAACCTTTGAAGGGTTGCGAGACGTTATAACGTCTTAAAATCACTTTTATTATAACGTCTTAAAATCATTTTCGTTATAACGTCTTAAAATGTTTTTCATCCGATTATACATTAAATATAGGGTAAACTCGGATACGATGGCCATAGTTTTTTAAAATGCAAAAAACATACAATAGGCCTGTTCTTTTTGACTGAACTTTTGCACCAGTTCATCTTTCTTCTTCTTCTTTCCTCCTGGAAAGAAAAGAAAGAAAGACGAACTGGTACCAAAGTTCAGCCAAAAAGAACAGGCCTATTTATTCTTGTTACTTTTTAACAATATTTGAGATATTACTTTCACTGAAGCTTAAAGTAACAAATACTATCGAAATTAAAGAGAAAATACTTAACAGAACTTTAATTTTATCAAAATATTACAAAGTATGCATTGGCCATCTTATCTGATTTTTAGAGTAAAGATGGCCATGATATTAAGAAAGATAGCCATATTATTTATAAATAAATAGTGAAAATAAAAGTATTAATTATAGGTCACTTTGCAATTTACGTACTTTTATTGTGTATGTAATGTTGATTATGGCAGCTTAACTGTAATTTATTAGACATCATAACAGTTTTTAGCAGACACGTGCAAAACTTTGCAGATAGTCGAAAAAAAAAATATTAGATAATATTTATAATATTGTTATTTTGAACAGTGTACTCATATGAACTACTGTAAATATTGATTATCTTTAAGAATGACTATAAAAATGCACTATTTATCAATTATTGGAGAAATTATGGCCTATGACCATCTTTTCCGTATGGCCATAATACCCTAGTTTACCTTATATTTTTTCCTAGAGCCAAATTTTTGTGGTTTAAGAAAAAATTTCTGCTCTTTTAAAGATTAAGAAAAATTTCGGTTATCGATTGCTGACAAGATGTAGGTTTTTACGAGTAGTATTGTTGCACTGCTACCACGACGCTTTCGTAATTCCCGGCGATTCTTCTCGCCTTGGGCGGATTATGTTACGAGCGTTACGTGTGAGAATGTTTAAATGCGATGTGAAATAGAATCGCGGAGTCAATTAAGACGCACCGTAGTGCCGAACCGTTGACGTTAATTAGACGACAGAGCGACTGAGATCGTTTAACTGGCAAGTGATTCAGTTTAGTGAACCGCGACGAAACCTGCTATGTTGAATATATAACGCGCATGTGTAAATAATGTGTGTAAATTTATTATATACATGCATTCAGATTACAGATTGCGATTGTAAATTATTTCTAATTACAAGTTTCGTGTGTAATTAAGCTCAAATAACTAATTATAAACATTATAAAATAGTATAATAATGTTTATTAGTATTACTAATTAAAGTTATTAAGCATAAAGTATATTTGAAATCCCATATTTTAACATGACGTATGACAAATTGAATGATTATAAAATAATAAAAATTATATTTAAATATAATGTTATCCGTAAATAGCGCATACATCTGGGATATACCTATCCTACAGGTTTGTAACTGATAGTTTAAGTAAATGCTTGAACTTTTGTTAACCACCGAATACCGTGACGAGCAGAATGTACGAACGTTTGCGCGCAAAGCCCGGAGAAGGGGATGTTCCGGGCGCTCCCCGCGATTTGCACATTAACGGGGAATAAACGATGCCGAAATACAGCGCGGACGCGCGATCGCTATAATAGGAGCACCGAGTAGTCTATTAAGCGTCCTCAAAACCAGTTAGTGAGTCGGCAATCCAGTTTAGGTACAAAATGGCTGTCGTTTAGCGAGGATTAATGGTCTCGGGAGTGCCCCGAGGCAGCATAATGGGGCAGATGCGTTCTGGATGAGGGGGAACAACCCTCTCTGATCTCTCCTCCCCGCCATTTATATCTCGACAACCTCCGCGCGCCACCCTGCCTCCTCGTGCCTTATCCCACCCCTCCTGTGGCCTCGTTATGTACACCTATCTGACTACAGGCTCCATTATGCCCTTTTTGTGTGATGCTCCACGTACGCCGGATAAATACGCGATATCTGTGCACCTACATACCAACACTTGGAAATTACAGCCTGCGACATTACACGAGTAGCAGGAAATTGTATACCTTTTCTCCTCTATTTTGCAAATTAAAAAT